ATAATGCAACGATGGTAAATGTTCACACGTTAAAAAAAGAAGGGAGGGGGACTGGAGAGATGGCTCAGAGGTTAAGAACCCTGGCTGTTCTTCCGAAGGTTCTGGGTTCAATTCCCAGCAACCACATGGTGGCTCATAACCATCTACAGTGAGAGCTGGTGCCCTCTTCTGGTTCTCAAGCACACATGCAGGCAAAATGCTGTATAAATAATAAATAAGTCAATCAACTTAAAAAAAAAAAAAGAAGGGAAGTGTTACAAAGGTTGGAAGGCTTTTGTGAAGTTCATTTGATGTTTTTATGGAATGAATCACTGATGACGTTGTGTTTGCCATAAAGTACAGCTCTTGGCAACATGTTAGGCCCTGAGACACCGAAAGAGGCTCTGTGGCCCCTTCCCCATGAAAGCCTCCCTCTCTGCAGATGTCATGGGCTTATAGAATGGGAGGGCACAGCGACCATCATTATTCACTGTGAGTGGAGCTTATTTCTGTTCCCGCTCATTTAAAAATGAAACAAACAGATACAGACATTCTAGAACTTTCCTCCTGGACATCCCACACGGGACAGTCACCTCATTTGGAGAATACCTATAAAGGACTTCTTGCAGTTAACTGTAATAACTTTGTTTTCTTTAACCTCTGAGCTAACCTCCCCTCCTTTATTTATTTTTTTATTAATTACACTTTATTCATTTTGTATCCCCCCATAAGCCCCTCCCTCCTCCCCTCCCGATCCCACCCTCCCTCCCCTTTCTGCATGCATGCTACTCCCCAAGTCCACTGATAGGGGAGGTTCTCCTCTCCTTTCTGATCTTAGTCTATCAGTTCTCATCAAAATTGGCTGCATTGTCCTCTACCGTGGCCTGGTAAGGCTGCTCCCCACTCAAGGGGAGGTGATTAAAGAGCAGGCCAAGCAGATTATGTCAGAGGCAGTCCCTCTTCCCATTACTATGTAACCTACTTGGACACTGAACTGCCATGGGCTACACCTGTGCAGGGGTTCCAGGTCATCTCCACAAATAGTCCTTGGTTGGAGTATGAGTCTCTGGGAAGTTCCCTGTGTTCAAATTATCTTGTTCTGTTGCTCTCCTTGTGGAGTTCCCGTCCCCTCCAGCTCTTACTATTTCCCACTTCTTACATAAAATCCATTCACTCTGCCCGTTAACTTTAAAAAGTAGCTTAAAATTAATTAACTTAAATTCTTTATGAAATCTTCATATAGAATTTTGGCTGAGTCTCTTCCCTCCTTGAAGTTAAGTATCTGCAGATTCACCTCCACAGGCCTGTCCCCCTGGAAGGGCTAGTGAAGATGGCCTTTGGAGGTTTGGCAAGCTATGCCCCTTCCCTAGCCAAACACTGCCTACTGCCGAGTTGGTGAAAAACTCCCATGATTTCTGTTTATTCAGCTGTATCTTGGTACCAGCCACTGTGCACACATCAAGGAAGTGTGTTCTTGGTAGAAAGGGTGCTTGCTGCCAAGTGCATGGTGGCCTAGCGAGACTAAACCCTGGGGTTTCCACCATGCTCAGTACCCTTTCCAGTGCGTGGTTATGGAGCCAAATCCAACTGCCTCATCTTTGAGAAGGGGCTACAGGACAAGTAGTTCCCCTTCCCTGCCCCTTTGCTGTTTGTGATAAAGAAGTCTGCTTTTAATCGGAGTGTTTGACTTAATGACTTATATGAGCACAAAGAGCAGCGTACCTGTTACTACTCTAAAACTAAAACAAAAACAAATGAACAAACTGGAATGCATAAGGCACCACACGAGAAATTAAAAGTGTAGACACAAAATTTTAGCAAGTACAAAGTGTGGCTTTTAAAATCCTGAGTGAGATAAACCAGACCGAGAAAGACAAGGTATGCATTCACTTATATGTTGAGACTAGTTGTTAAGTCAATGATAACCAGGCTATAATTCATAAAACCACAGAGGTTAAGAGCAGGGTATGGGGCTGGGGTAGACAGATAGGTCTCCCTAGGAGAGGGAGCTGGAATAGATAGTTATGGATTGCAGGGAGGGGGCCTGGAATGGGAGGATCAAGGAGGGAAGGGGGGATGGGAGAAGGGCATGAAGGAGGGAATACAGGGAGAGACAGCTAAAGTTAAGGGACATTTGAGAGGTTGTATGGAAACATAATACAGTATGAGCTTCCTAAAATGTATATATCTATGAAGAATATCTAAATGAAATCACCAAATGATGGGGGACACAGAGTCCCAACTGGGCATCTCTTGTCACCAAATAAAGTTTCCAGGACTGGATTGGGTTACATGTAATTGAGTTGTTGGCCATAAAGGTTCTATGGCAATTCTCAAACAACCCACACTGGTGCCAGGACTATAAGTTGTTCTTCACAAACTGATAGCAAGAGCGCTTTACTGAAGACAACACCTACGTAACTCACTGAACATGAGGAAGTTGAGCTGAGCCTGTGCAGAGCCTTCACCCGTATGTTCTAGTGTCTTTGGTACAGGAAGACACTCCTTATGCTATCAAAGGAGAAATGTAAGAACCAACCCAGCCATAGACTCTCTGATCTACAATGACATCTTGCCTGAAAGAAATGCTAGCTCAATGGTGGCACGAAACTTAATAGAGCAATCACCCAGTATCTGATTTGACTTAAGGCACGCTCCATGAGATGGAGCCCATAGCTTGCACTGCTTGAGTGACTGAAAACTTGAGACTAGATATGCCAGGGACCTAGGAAAAACATATGCTATTCTTCTAAAAAAAACAAAAGCAAAAAAAAAAAACAACAAATACAGCAATAAAATGGTTTCTAATGACAACCTACTATACTCATAAATCAGTGATTGCACACTCATCGTCAGAGAAGCCTCCTCCTGAAACAAATGGGAACAAATACACAAGTTTACAGCTGGACACGGTCAAAAGAGAGAGAGACCTTGTAACACAGAGCTCTAAATAGGGTGTCTCTATCAAATCTGCTCCCACTTCACCCTCGGGCTCGGGGGAACCTGCAGAAGACGACGCAGAAAGTGTAAGAGCCAGAGGGGATGGAGAACACCAAGAAAACAAAACTAGCCCTTCTAAGTCAATATGATCATCGCACATTTGAACTCACAGAGACTGAGGCAGCATGCACTGGACCTGCATGATCTGCCCTGGATAGGATCCTAGACCTGAAGGGAGCAGTGGGCACATTCCTCCATCTCTAATCCAGAAGCTGTGTTTAACCAACAGCCACTTGCAAATGAAAATTTAGTTTCCCCCAAGGGAGTCTCACTGGGGAAACAAGCTACTCTTAAGGGCAGGCTGCATGCCCAGTAGCAGATGGCCAAGAGAAAATAAACTCAAGGGTATATTTGGAGGTTTCGTGTCTCATAATGTTGTGTAAAGGATTTCCTTTTTTTTAAAAAAAAAAAATTCATTTTTATTTTATCTCTCCATATTTTTCTTCTCTTTCTTTACTGCACAAGTCCTTTGTGTATATATTATGGAGTCCAGTTTAGTGTTTTTCTGGGCTTTATGAGTGTGCAAACAAATGGGTCTCTTCAGCTATATCTGTTTCCTGTCTCTTTTCTTGTGCTCTTTTCCTTCTGTTTGTTTTATCCTATTCTAACATTTTAATTTTTGTTTTATCACATTGTCTTACTTTTATATCACTTTATTATTATCCCTTAGGAGCCTGTTTGTATTCTCGTAAGAGACAGAAGAGGGTGGATCCAGATTGGAGGGGAGGTTGGAAGGAGTAGAAGGAGAGGAAACTGTAATCAAAATAGATTGTGCAAGACAAAAATCAATTTTCAATAAAAGAAAAAATTAATTCTCCAGTGAGCCAAATCATATCTGAGTTATACATGCCCAAAACTGAAACGTGCTGGACAATTTCAGAGATGTGTGTGTTAAAAGAAAAATATGCCTTGATGTGCTAATTTAGTCAGAAGAGTGCTAATGAATTAATATTCCCAAATATCTATATTTTGGTGTCAGGTTAGCTCAGATTTTAATTTCAACAATGACATAAAATTATTTAATTACAGGAAGCAGAGAATTTAAAACTCAGATTTAAAATGACTCATCTGATGTGGCTTGCAGACTGTCTGCTGAACGTGTACAACTCAATCAAACCAACACACTCCAAAAAGAAAAGGAAGAATTGAGTTTGCTCTCAGCATCAGCTCCTTGGCTTCCCGGGAGTTAGGTTCTTGTTTCTTAGAATCACAAGATACTTTCTATGCTGAGACTTCGTGTGTTCAAAAATCCCTTCCTGAGACTGTTATGCCTCCAAACTCCCCTTTGGGATGAATTGTTCAGCTGTTTTTCCAGGAATATGCACCAGCATCATCAGAGGCTGCTGCAGTATGAGTCTGAAATGTCCCTTTAGGCTCATGTTGTGAACAGTTATTTCTTGGGCAGTGGAATTATTTCTGGAGGCTGTGGAATGTGGGATGTGGGGCCCAGCCGGGAGGACTCAGAGGTGACCTCTGAAGGTACAACCCAGCCCAGCTTTACCCTCACTCTGCTTCCTGGCACTATGCGAACGGCCTCTCTGCCCACTCCTGCCATCAAGGGCTAAAGGCCTGCTGCATCTTTCCTGGTGAGATGGGCTGAAGCCACCAGTCAAAGTTAATCTTCCCTCTCTTTGTTATTTCTGCCAAGCATCTTGGTCAGAGCAACAGTAGAGAGTCATAGTACAGGTGTGTCATGAGAGGAGGCTTTTATTGTTTACAGAACCAGATGATGTCACGACTCTATTGATTTATTGCACTTTCTGTCCTGGAGGGGATTAGATGTTCCGTCAGTGCCTCAGAACCCGTTCTTTCCATCCCCTCAATCTAGACATGCGTTTCTCATTCAGGCATGATAATGAACCATAACCTCCACTCAATAGGTCATTGTGTTTGAGGGAAACGTTCATTGATAAGAAATACCTTGAAAACATAAAAAGATACATTTCTTATTTACGTGACCTCTTCAGTTTTTTTTTTTTTAATTTTGTGATTAAAACTCCTAAGTGTTTCAGGAAAGTAGTTTATGAATTATAAGGTTCCCATCCTCTGTCAAAGATGAAACGATTGATCAGATCAAAAGATCTCAGCGGTTGGTCATAGGGCAAAATGTGTCCTCCACCTCGGACAATTACCTTGGAGAGCAAAGACAACAGAAGACAGAGAAATAAATATTATCAATACATGGGAAGTATAAATTCAGATTAAACACTATTTTAAAATATATATATATATATGAAATTCAGAATGGGTTCGCCAAGTACCTCAGTGGTAGATGCCTTGCCTAGCAGGCACAAATCCCTGAGCTCTGCCCCCAGACAGCAAACAGAAATAAATACAAAACACTTTGTTCCATAAGCCTTGGCGTTGCCATGCCCTCCTAGTGATAACAGTTACTTAGGGTTCAGGAAGCTTTGTCAGCTACAGTTCTTAGATTTTTATACCAATTTACATAGTTTTAAAAATGACTTCCCTTTCTCACTTTGAGGTGGCTTTCTGCCCCTGAGTCCCTAATTGAGAGCAGGTGCTGTATTCAAAATTTTGCCTAGGTAGGACCTGAAGGTAGAACAGTTTACCTATCTAGGTCAGACTGTATCTAAACAGAGCCTATTGTGTCTTTTAATTAGCTAGAGGAGTTTGCCCTCACTGGTTCTCCCCACTCAGTTTTTAACAGTAATAAAGGGGATATTTTGATGATAAGTAATTAACTAAAATAACAGAGAGAAATCCTTGATGCCTAGAATAAAGATTATTTTAAGCACTCATAGAATTAGAACATTTTTATTTTTCTGATATCATATTAAAGAAAAGCTCAAATACATAGCATATTTTTTTAAGAAGAGTCCTGAGCTTATATCTAGTTTCCTCCTCACTTAATATCTGCTATCTCTGCTTTCTCCCATGCCTGATTCCATCTGCCTGCCTATCCATCCAGTAATCCAGCTTATCTTTTGACACACTTCAAATTAAAATGGGGAAAGTTCTCCCAAACTCCTCAGCATAAGATCATTGATTATCCCAGAGTCCAGAGTGTGTTTGGACACACTAACTCTGTGTTCTTACCCTGCTCCCCATTAAAAGGAGGATGTGTGTTTACTTCTGTCCCCATTCATAGCTAGGGATAAAACTGTCAGGATTTTAGGGGGCCCTGAAGATGACAAAGAAAAAGAAGGACAGATTTCTAAAGAAACATCTGAAATCCTCTCACTTCATTTGAACTCAACTTAAATAAAAACCACTCATTTTGGAGTATATACAGCTGTTGCATTCTTAGGTTTTATAAGTTAGCTGATGTTACCATGGACATAGGCTAAGATAACTACTAAGGCTATTTTATAGCCAATTGGAGGCCATTATTGCTGAAACCCTGACTGTTTGCTGGTGCCCGAGTCATCTGATAGAATGAAAAGCTTAGCATCTCTGACTTCATAGCATGTCTGCCTTTAATCTTTGAGTCAGACCGTGTCCAGCTCTGCCTCTAGAAATCCTGAGCATTTAAGAAATGTTTGTTTCAAGTCTGTTCAGTATATAGGGTAAATTGCCTGTGGCCCATTGGCACAGGTAGGTATTTCTTCTCCTGCTTTCCCAATGGCACATGTACCATTGCTTGACCGTACAACTGGGAGAGAAATACTTCCTCTTTGAGTTGGTCCAAGTCGTGTAAGGACTTACTAGGATGCCGCATATGGACCTACTTAGCACAGATGCCTGAATATACAATAAATGTTACTCATGTAGAGGTCTTGGGTTCACTTCCCAGTGTCACAAAATAAACATTTATTTGTTGCTAACATTATTTGTCAAGTAATGATCTGCATCACAACTCTAGAACTGGTGCTGGAGAGATGGTGCAATAGTTAAGTGGGTAGTTCTGAAGGATGGAGAGAAGACATTCCAGAGAGTGAAAGGGGAGGGCACTGATCCCTTCTTTTGACCGCTCTGTGTGTTCCTGCTCAGACAGAGAGACACAGAAACACATACAAATAAAGAAGTGAACTGATTTTTTAAAGCTTCTGGAGTCAAAACATCTGCTTTAACTTGCTTGCCCTAGAACATTCAGTGTTCTTGCAGCCATACCAGCACTCTTGGCCTAAGGAAGTTGTATAAAGAATGGTTTCCATGCTTGGATGTGCATTAGAATATTTGGGTTTTCCCATTCTGAGGATCCACGGAGTGTCTACAGAACCTGCATCTCTAGCAGTTCTAAAGTGTGGCTGGCACTGTCCTTCCGAGGACTGGTGCTGTCCAGAGCTTTCTCCGCTCTGCAGCAAAGCAGGGCAATACAAGTACAATGTCCGATTCCCCATGGGCGCCTGTTCTCACAGCTGCTCATACATCCCTGAGCCTGAACATCTTCCACGCCACCGATCAGTCAGTGGTGGGGAACACGGGAGTTGGCGCAGTTTGTTTCCTCGGTGATGTACCTCCACTTGGTCCACTTGTGAGCTACCACATGTGATGAGCCAATGTCATGGGACCCAGCGTCCTGAACCCTGGAAAGGAAAGCCTCTACAGGCACAAGATTGTTTCACAGGGCTCCAAGCTCCCAAGCTGCTCTGCAAACAGTTTTACCAATGTCAACCTAAAAAATGAATTCACGGGTGCTTAGAAATAACTCATTGTTTTTCTTTTCTTTTCATTTTTATAGCTAAGTCTCAGCACTCACAAATCGAGGATGCAAGCTACTCAGCAGCTCTCAGAGGTGTGTGACAAAATGTGATAGGGTTGTGATTACATATGCAAATGTGACAAGATTAATCTCCAGGCTCCCCAGACAGAAACAGCCTCACTCTCAAAAAAGATGTCTTTTGGGGAGCTCATGTGTTCCAGATGTTCTTGGGGGTCATAAGTGCGCCATGAATTTTTAAAAGGTAACACAAACAATTAAACCATCACTCTAACTTAGTTTTTTGCAAATGATTCAACTCTCCGTGGAGCTAGAGATGTGGACCTGGCGGAGAGTCTTTCCGGTTAGGGCTTATTCGGCTACCAGACCACAGGAAGTTCACAATAGGCTTGTGGTGTAGACATGTCAGGGCAGACTTCTCAGGGGTCTTTGGGGAAAAGATTGCTGGACTGAGAAGGTTGGGCGGGCAGGGGAGCGGGGATACATTGCAGTAGAATCTTCTTGTGCAGGTGGGGGAAACAACAGGCATTCACAACTTCTGTATGCAGCCCCGCCCACTAAGGAGTTGAACTGGCAAACATGCCTGCTGGTATGTGCTGTGATGAGCAGAGTAGATGTTTGGGGCTTCATTTTTAATTGCAGCAAAATACACTTAACATAAAATTCTATCTTTAATCATTGTAATGTGTGAAATATGACACATTTAATGTGTCCTCTGTCATCACTAGGGGTTGTCGATTATTTTCACTGTCCCAAAGGAAACCACAGCTGATACTCTGGCTGCCTAGGCCTCATTCCTCCACAGTCTCTGGAAACCTAGTCACCTAGCTCCCTGTTCTACAGCCTAGAGGGTTGTAAGGAGGGAATGCTATGCTCAGATTCCCACTTGCTTAATGTCTGATGAGGAGGCTTCGGAAGGGAATGGTACCAGGGTAAACAGTGGAGAACCGTCAACTTAGACCAAAGATGGCACAGGCTCATAGAAGAGAGTAGGATCGGGAGGGAGGTGGGGGTATCAGAGCCAGAACAGAACCAATGAATCAGTGACTGATCGGATATAAAGGCCAAGTGACGCTCGTCCCCCGTCACTGCCTCCACCTCAGGCTTCTGACTTGAGAAGATTGCCAGTGATGATACTGCTGTTCGGGACAATGAGAAAGGGAGCCATGGGAGATACAAAAGGTTAGGATGGCTTTGAGAGGCCCAGTGTCCACCACAAAGTGTTGCGCAAGAGACACACGCTCGTTAACCTTTCCAATTTAAACCTAAGTTAATTTTCTAGCATCATTACACACCTTATCTATGAATCTTGGTTTCTAGCTGTCAGATAGTAACTACAGGTCAAACTAAGATAAATATACACCCAGGAAAAGTTACTTGGAAAATAAAAAGTAACTGAGAACAATAGTCAGAAGCAAGCCACGGATCAGCAGCAGACACCTCTGACTACAAATGAGGCAAGGAGCGTCCAAGAAAACCAGAGCACATACCAAGGCAGGGCTGCTTCAGCAACACAAAAGAGGACCCATCCTTGGGGTTTCCCATTGTACACCAGCAGACTAGTAATGACTATTGAACAGGAGGGGAAGTGAGGCTTCTAGGTACCTCAGTGACTCCAAATGTAGTCATCACAGTATTGTGTGTTCCTGGAGAAATCCACACAGAGCTCTGGTGTGGGTTGTGTCAGTTATGGGTATAAGAGAAAAGACATGATGGTCTTAGTGGTGTAAGGAAGAGCAAAACAAACAAACAAAAAAAAAAGGAAAAAAGAACCCTCCAAAGAAAAGAAAATAGAGGCTTGGCACCGGGAAAGAGCAGACTTTCTATTAGACCCACGAGTGTCTGCGGAGAGAAGAAGAGCTAGAGATGGGAAAGCTTCAGCAGCCGGCAGCCAGCTCCACTGATATTCTCTCACCACTGAACTGAATAAAGTCTTAACATCCTCTTCTAGCTTTCATAGGTGGCATGCTCACACAAGGGTCCCATTTAAACATGCAGGCAAACACTTCCATATAATACAACACATACGTATGTATACCTGTGTCTGTATACACATCAATAAAGATAGATCTTAATAAAACGATTTATACCCATTGCTAACTGAAACTGAGAACTTCACAGGTGGTATTATAGTAGATTAGACATATTAGAAAGAAATTACATTAGAAACAGAAGTTCATGTCTGTAGGTTAGTCAACCACATCCAGACAGAAGCATGATGAACAGCAGCATAGCATATACAGAACAGACAAGAAAGACCAAGAGACTGCAAAGCATCGGATCATTCTTGGCTGGACTTTGAGGATGAAACCTAAAGGACGGGGCATAGAAATACTTAGAGATGTTGATTAATAATAATTGTCCAGACTTGATTAAAAAGCTACCTGTTCTCGGTTTTGGGAAGCTCAACAACCCTCAAAAGGATAAATACAAAGAAAATGACATCTAAGCACATAACACTATAGTGCTGAAGCTTGTAGTGAGAATTTTTTGTTTCTTTAAAAACAC